AGTTGCAAGAACTGGAAAAGTGGTTCTCTGAAGAAGGGTTTGAGGAAAGGACAAAAGGGAGAGGCCTTATAATTGGAGGTTGGGCACCACAAGTAATGATATTATCACACCCTTCCATTGGAGGATTCTTAACACACTGCGGTTGGAATTCAACACTTGAAGGGATATGTGCTGGAGTGCCACTTGTTACCTGGCCTCTGTTTGGTGATCAGTTTTTAAACGAAAAGCTTGTTACTGATGTGTTGAGGATTGGGGTGAGCGTTGGGGCAGAGGTTCCATTGAAGTGGGGAGAAGAAGAGAAGAGAGGTGTGATGGTGAAGAAGGATGATATTAAGAGGGCAATATGCATGGTGATGGATGAATGATGAAGAAGGCAAAGAGAGAAGAGAAAGGGTACGCAATTGAGCGAAATGGGAAGAGAGCTGTTGAAGAGGAGGCTCTTCTCATCTTGATGTCACTTTAACTTAATCCCAAGACATCATGCAAAACAAATACCAAAGAGGATGAAAATTTCAGTGACGTTTGAAGATTCTCGATTCTCATGTTCACGTATTCCTTTCATTTTTTTTAGTTTATATGGTTGGAAATCCAAGTTTTTTTTAGTTTATATAGTTGGAAATCCAAGTTTTTTATAGAGTATAAATTAGAGTATTATATAAAAATTTAAGATTCGTTAAGTTATTATCTTAACGTTTTGGTTTTAAGTAGATAATAGTATCGATATTTTATATGATTAAATTAAGATATGGTTACTGTTTGTATCTTTTAATGAATTTTTCTTTAAAAGACCCGTATCTTTATTTGGAAAGTCTTTTTTACAAAATACTATGATTCGAATATTAGCATTATTTTAAATATAAAAATAAATATTATAGTATTTTTCAGTTTTATTTTTAAGAAATATAAAGTGATCTATTAGTGATTATTTTTATTCTTTTAACTGCATAGAGATTAGATTATGGAGAAATTATTCATTTTGTTTAAATGTAAAGTTCATTTATTTTGAACTGATGGCCAAACTTTATATAAGAAAATGAGTTATTCTCAGTTTTGATTATTAAGTCTACTCTTTTATTTAGAAAACACACCATCGAGTTGAATGAGTTAAGTTTAAAAACAAACTGACTGTGTTTGGAATTACAAAAATTGCAAGGCAGAGGTACGCACACTATCCTTTTATTTTTTTCTTCGGCAGTTTTTTGATCTGGAATGTGTGATCTGATGTTAATATAACAGGTTAATTTTATACTTTTACTATTTTTATATCGAAATTTTTATGTTTATACAGAGTTAGAACATTCGAAGAATCAATTTTGATATCTAAAAAACCATGAATAATAATATTATATTTAATTAAGTTATTTAATTTAAATATATAAATAACAAATAGATTGCAAAAGTGGGAATAAAATGTGTCTAGTAATTGAGATGATGGTCCTTTGATTTGTCTTTGTCCTATGACAACCTGTAAAGGTCCATGCGCTCTAAATTGTTGTTTTATGGTGTTACTTTCCGTGAATCTACATTTTAGTTAAAAAAATGTTTTTTTAATAATATTTTTATAACTTTTCTTGCTCACGCAATCACTTGTCAATCTTCTGTTTTAAATATTTGTTAAAAATAAATTAATAAAATAGTAACACATTATTGATAAAAAGTTGTTATATATTACTATCTTTTTAAGTATTAAGTTATATTTTTATCTTATGATTTGTTTACTTTATTTTTCTTTAATTTCGATTTGATTTATGTTAATTAACTGTGATAGGTTTAGATAGTCACTGAAAAACTATTACTGTTCAATAATTTTTCAGTAACATATTCAGAACTTTACACACTAATCCAATTTAGACAGAGTATCAAATTGTATTAACTCTTAAAATTTATAAGGAACTAAAACTGTCTTAATTTGAAAATTAACATATCAATTTAAACAATTAATTTAAAGCTAAATAAGATAAATAAATAATGTCACAAAACGTAGTTATTCCTTTACTTTAAAGTGCATGCATACTGCACGTTAAATGTTTTCTTCGTCAATCATATAATAGTCTGAAGATTTTATTTACGGAATATATGTTATGAAAGTATAAGGGGGGAAAGTTAATACATACACTATTTAAATTATACTTTTACTTCTTATATTTCCTTATATATGTATGTCAATGTATTTTTCCTTATATATATATATATTTTTTTTTTTCCATGAAGACAATAATTATAATCTATGTATAATA